CCCATCCCCCCAACGTCCACCATCGCTACCCACCCCCCAACATCCCCATTGCTACCAGCCCACCCCAAACCTGCAACGTCCCCCCATCGCTACCTGCCCGCCCCATCCCCCCAATATCCCCATCGCTACGTGCCTGCCCCACGTCAGCACACTTGTGCTGCCTACACACCTCCCACATTGCTGCCCCATCACTACAAACTTGCTCCATTGCCGCTCCATTGCTACACTCCCACCCCATCACCGTCTGTATCATCTCCATCCATCTGTCCCATCCTCACTCCCCCCATCGCTACCTGCCCGCCCCATCCCCCCAATATCCCCATCGCTACGTGCCTGCCCCACGTCAGCACACTTGTGCTGCCTACACACCTCCCACATTGCTGCCCCATCACTACAAACTTGCTCCATTGCCGCTCCATTGCTACACTCCCACCCCATCACCGTCTGTATCATCTCCATCCATCTGTCCCATCCTCACTCTATTGCTAACACCCCTCCCATGACAATACCAATGTTCCCTCAAATTTTTCCCATCCATGTGTGGAATCAATTTTGTATGTGCACTGAGGCAAGTGCAAATGTGCATCACCAGTAGAAACACATGCTGCTGGCTGTGGGTGCTCTGCTAATCAGCTGGGAGACATTTGAATCTTTCGCAGGAAACACTGCTCAGCACCCCAACACCAACTACACACCAACCCAATCTCCACACCATCACCAGAAACCCGTCCCATTGTTCTGCCATCTCCACCCTATAATAACTTTGAGAGTGTGACCTGCACATCCTACACACAACTCTTTTTTGGTCAAATCCCTATAATTACAACACTTTGAAATGTCAGATTTAAATGGTTGAAATGAAGTTTAATTTTTAAAATCCTATGACCATGTAATTGACCGAAATGGACTGTAACTTTGGTAGGGCCCTAATTATACTGTGTCTTGTTATTATTAAAGATGTTAAGTATCAGGTAATTGACTAATTGAATAGTTGATGCATTTTGCATTTGCATCGGGGGGGGGGTCTCCCGGCCTCTACACACCGCTGCTGCTTTGAAATGCCGCTAGGAGCCTGACGCTGGGCTCCCCACTGGGTTTCAAAGTGAGCCCAAGATCACCTGGGGAGTCCCCAGCTGATCCTGGGCTCCAGTGTGCAGCCTGGGGAGACCCCAGCTGGCCCTGGGCTACACACAGCTTTTCAAAGCTGAAGCTCCACCTCTGGCCCCAAGCTGCAAGCTGCTTCTTCTTCCTCCTCTCCCCCCCGCCTTGCTGCCTCTATCTGATAGAGGCACCAAGGGTGGAAGAGTCTAGTCAACTATCCTGTTGACTATTTGATAAGCATTTGCTTATCGGATAGTCGACTGGTCCTTCACATCCCTAGTTATTATCACGCTAAAGCTCATCGCCACATGATGCAGCGTTCTCTTCCTGTTTAGTCTGGTTATGCTGTATCTTGTGCCATGACATATCATGTGGCATTATGCTCTCTCATGCCATGGTCATATGAAAGCCTGCTGTCGCCACATAGCAGCATCACAATACATTTTGGCATTACAGCACCTAGCCCACTCAGCTGCAGCATGGTGGCTTGGTGTCATTCCTCTGTATTGCACTATTATGGGTATAGTCACCTGGCATGTGGGGGTATGCCATAGCATAGCTTTATCATACACAGTTTTGTCTCAAATCCCAATTCTGTCACATGCTGACAACATTGTGTCTCGCAGCTTGAAAATCTCACCATGGTGCACCATAGTGACATCACATACTATCCTCATATTGCACCACTACAACAAATTCTTATATAGCAAAAAGTCCCCACACCGTAATTCCACATCTGGCTGTGATGACATATTGTTACACCCAACAAGGAGTCTGTTTGAAACCCTTAGTTGATTTTATTTAAAGGGTGTATTTGTAAAGGTAAATAATTTTAACTTATCAGTTATTAGGAACATTTCTCATTGAAATGTCACCTTTGCCTGTTAGAATTTCCTAGTAAATTTTTATTTACTTTTTTCTTTGATCACTTCCTGAATTCTGTGTAGATTCAGTCTAGTGTGTTTATTGGTGGACATAACCAGTTCATTGTGGGACCTGAGCATCTTTGCTGACTATAGTGAAAAGAATGAATTATTTTTGTTACATGTCTTTTAGATTTTACTGAGATGATGAGGGCTCTGGGATATCCGCGACTCATCTCTATGGAGAATTTCCGCACTCCAAACTTCATGCTGGTTTCAGAGGTGCTTCTTTGGCTGTGCAAAAGGTTGGTGCTTTATTTCAGTGCAAGAAAGAATGTCAAGTCGGTGACTGGACCTGACATTAAAGAGCTATTTGGAGATGATGTTTCAGAGTGGAGTTGTATTGAGTGGCTTAAAGAGGAACTTGGTGAAATTGAAGTTTAGTTGTTTTGAGAGCTCTACTGTTCTGAGTGCCATATAGGACCATATAGTGCTTAAAGTTGGCATTTTGAATGTAATATTAAGGAAAAACCATTACTGCACATTTCAAACACTGATCTCCTCTTGCATGTTGAATGTGATTTGTGATTTTTCCTTTTACAGTATGAGTTTGTCTGTAAAGTCTGGACTACGCCTTAGATGCAGAAATCCACTGAAAGAGCCAGTGGGGCTGAACTCAGCCCAAGGCAGAGATGGAGAAGACCCCACTTCCCTTTACAAACAATACTTCTAGACAAGACTATGTTTAAAGATAGTCTCAGTTAGTCATAGACTCATAGAACAGTAGTGTTGGAAGAGACCTCAGGAGTATCAAGTGCAACCCCCTGCTCACAGCAGGACCAACCCCAACTAAATCATCCTAGCTTTGTCGAGCAGGGCCTTAAAAATCTCTAAGGATAGAGATTCCACCACCTCCCAGTAGAACCCATTCTAGTGCTTCACTACATTCCTAGGCTGCGTCTAGACTGGCAGGATTTTCCGCAAATGCTTTTAACGGAAAAGCTTTTCCGTTAAAAGCATTTGCGGAAAATCCTGCCAGTCTAGACGCAGCCTAGGAATGTAGTGAAGCACTAGAATGGGTTCTACTGGGAGGTGGTGGAATCTCTATCCTTAGAGATTTTTAAGGCCCTGCTCGACAAAGCTAGGATGATTTAGTTGGGGTTGGTCCTGCTGTGAGCAGGGGGTTGCACTTGATACTCCTGAGGTCTCTTCCAACACTACTGTTCTATGAGTCTATGACTAACTGAGACTATCTTTAAACATAGTCTTGTCTAGAAGTATTGTTTGTAAAGGGAAGTGGGGTCTTCTCCATCTCTGCCTTGGGCTGAGTTCAGCCCCACTGGCTCTTTCAGTGGATTTCTGCATCTAAGGCGTAGTCCAGACTTTACAGACAAACTCATACTGTAAAAGGAAAAATCACAAATCACATTCAACATGCAAGAGGAGATCAGTGTTTGAAATGTGCAGTAATGGTTTTTCCTTAATATTACATTCTGTTTCCTCTGATTGATTCCATTGCTCCAATGTCACAATGAAAGGTAGTGGAAGATGGAACCCGTTGGGGAGCATGGGCCTCGTCTAGTACCATTTTAGTATAGATTTATGTCAGTGTAATGCACTTGGTTTCAAACGCTTGTGAAACTGCAGTGGTAGATCAAGCTGTTTCTCTATGTGTGTATTTAATTATATCATCAAAATCAAAAAGCCCTAAATGTTCTTTTGTGTGTGTGCATGTGTGTATATACAAAAAGACAATTCCTTTTTCAGTTATGATACCTTACAGATTCGCAATGGGCAGAAATTTAACAATGACCGTAGTTGCTGCTTGCTTACTCTTTTGCATTTCATTTTGTTCATGGTTAGTTTCAAGAATCTTTAGCTCTCTGGCTATGGTGCACTAGCTCAGTGCTGCAATTTTTGGGCTACAAGTATTGCAAGGACAGTTTAAAACTAATAAACAAGCTTTGATTTTTATACTTATATTACATATAAGTATCAGGCCTTGGGAATCCTTAACAATGCTTCACTTTCCCCAAAGTTTGGTTTCTAAATTACTTGGGTTTTTCTACTTCAAATTTAAAAACAAAAGTCACAAAAAGCACGGAGAACAAAGCAGTGAGAAAGACATATTGTTACACAAAGAGGTATTACTTTTCCAAAAAGGAGTATGAGTGTTCATCTAATTAAGCTGAACAGTATAATGTGTATATTAGAAGGTGATTGGAAGTACTCTGCTTTTAAGTGAAGTGTCTCATTTACATCCCAGGAAGCTAGGAAATTAACCGATATTGTACCAGGTACCCAGTAAAACAGCTTACCCTGGTTCCAGGACTCTTGTAATTGTATTGTACAGTAGAGAGGTTAAACATCACTTGTTTTCAATTTCAAATGACATTTTAAAGTGGAGATTCTGTCTGAACATTAATGATCCCATGGCACTTTTCCATAAAAGTTAGGAGGTAGGGGATTTCCGTAATTGTTTCTTCCCAAGGGTACTGATACCTAATGTATTGTGGACAAGTTGGTTGGTGACTTCCACTCCAGAGATGGCTATGTTCTAGTGCTGCTGTTTGTAAAGTGCTTTGAGATCCTCAAAACGAAAGGTGCTATACAAATATTAATCTATTATTAGTGAAACAAAAAAGCTTATTTTAGCAACAGTATTAACTATAACCAGGGCCCTGTGTTTTCCTATGTTTTGTGTATAGAGACTTCGCTGCAGAACCTGCCAATTGCTGTAAATATGCTGTAAAATCTAAACTTTCATATAAAACACTGTCTAGCTTTGTAAAGGTAACTCTTCAGTTTGGTTCATATATGGAATTAATCTTCCTTAGCTTAAAATGATAGCTGTGAGAGATCTCAACTGTCCTTGTTCATTTCAAAAAGGGTGTTTACTTTCATGATGATATTTTAAATGTCAGTGTTGTTTGTTTTATTAACTGTTTCACTGCTCCTTATTTTAGCTGATCTCTGAAAGATTAGGGATGTTCAGTTAATCCAAAGCTTTTTTTAAAGTCATAGTCAGGTCTGATTAAGATGAGTTTGGTTTATCTGTGTGGCTTGCAATTTGAAAATCTGACATAGTAAATTATTTCTCTTCATAAATATTCCATTTTTAAAGCCTGAAGCCAAGCTTTGAAATTGATTTGTGTGACTCAGCTAGGTCTGGTGGCTCTTGCAGACTGAGCCAAAAACAGTTTCAGAACCTGAACTTAACAATTTATTTTGCAGATATGGCTCAAGATTTATGGCTCATGAAATTTTTATGACATTCTAAATTTATACATTCCAGATCCTAGATACTGAACTAGTGTTTCTTCACCTGTATTGCGGCTGAACATTTGGTTTGCAGGATCTTCATGATGCCTGAGTTTGTTGCCTAAATGAATATTGGCTTTTATCTGTTTAATACTTCATGCATGTTGCTTGTCTGACTCAATGAATATTCTCATTGGTAGGTATGAACCACAGACTGATGTGCCTTCTGATGTTGAGACAGAGCAAGACCGGATTTTCTTCATTAAGGCAGTAGCTCAGTTTATGGTGAGTCTGCTTAGGCAATCTCATTTGGGGTTTGATCTAAAGCACACTGAAGCCTAATGCTTTTTCTTTTGACTTCCTCTGATTTCCCCTGTAATATGTGGCTAAGTATGTATTATATTCCTGTACTTTGTTAGATTTCAAAAGTTTTTATCATTTCTGTAATGTTTTGAAATGGCCATATGCAACTTATTATAGAGAAGGACATCTTTGGTAGACCTAAATTTGATTTTCAGGGTAGAATAAAAAAACAGTGAGAGCCAGAAAGATTTATTTACAGTTGATAGTTGACTAAATCTTGGCTCCAGTGAAGGCCCTGATCCTGCGAAGACTTAAACACAGATTTAACTTTTACATGATGCTTTAGTCCCATTGCAGTCCCTGGATGAAACTCGATGGCAATGTTGCTATTGACATGAATGAAGCCAGCCAATGACTTGGATGGGACTGCTCGCATCACACAAAGTGAAGTATGGGAGAAAGTCTTGATAGGACTGGAGTTTTAACAGCTACTTAGCATTAAGCCCATAAAGTCATCTTCATGCACTACTGCCTATCCATTTTTCACACTACAAAAACCTAACATGCAGAAATAAGGTGTTCTTAACAAAAATAACAAAGTGGCTTTTTGGATGAACTCTGTAACAAATATGACCATCTCTCTCCTAAAATTGTATGCCTGATTCTGTGAAAGGGTAACAACTTATATATCAAGAAAATAAGAAAGCTATGTGGGCCTAACAATGTTTTAGTTCTGGTCTATAATCAATATCTATATCCTAGTGTGTGATCCTGTTTGTGCTTATTGTCTGAATGCATATGTTTTATCAGATCAAAAGCTTTGTGGTTATTGCTTATTGGATACAACTAGAAGGACATTAGACACTAAATAAAGATTGTCTCTTAAAATATAAGATGCTCAGCCACTCTAGATTGGCAATGCTTGTCAGATAGTCGGCAGGATAGTCGACTAGTTGCGCTTCTCCCACCCCCTTGCTGCCTCTATTAAATAGAGGCAGCAAGTGGGGGGAAGTGGAAGGGGTACTTCAAAGTGGCAGCACCGCTTGAAGCCTGGGGCCAGATCCTGGGCTCCCAGCGGCGCTGCTGCCTTGAAACGCCATGTTCAGTCCAGGGCCAGCTGGGGTGTCCCCAGGCTGCACGCCACATTTCAAAACGGCAGTACCACGTGGAGCCCAGAGTCAGCGGGGCAGTCCTCCACTGACCCCAGGCTCTGTGTGGGGCTGCTGCTTTGGGAGCCCGGCGTCAGGCTCCTCGTGGCATTTCAAAGCGGCAGTGCCGCATGGAACCTGGGATCATCTGGGGACTCCCGCACTCACTATGGGCTCCATGAAATACTGCCACTTTGAAACGCTGTGAGGAGCCTGACGCTGGGATCCCCATGGTGTTTCAAAGCGGCAGCACTGCATGGAGCCCAAGGTCAGCTGACCCTGAGCTCACGCAGCGCTTTCGCCTTCGAAGTGTAGCAACCGCAATAGAATTCCTGAAGTCCTGGCAGGTGACAATGTGCCTTGACCTTTAGTAGATTTGGAGGTTTTTAATTGGTACTTATCACCACAGTATCTGAGTGCCTCAAATATTTGGGTGGTTCACCAGGTGATCTTTATACTATGGCACAATTACTCTTCTCTGCTTTGCTTCAGTGGAGTTCTCTTTCCTTGTTGGGATCACACATCTTGCATTCAGTTATGTTGTTGAGTGTGGATTGTAATGATCATAAGCAATATGGATGTGAATGGTTAACTGGTTAACCTGTGGGGGCTGGAGCAGCTTCCTGCCTGCTACAGGCAGGCGGCTGCCTCAGTCCCACAGGTGGCCTGTCACAAACAGGGGCTGCTCCAGCGTCCTGGCCAGAGCAGCCTCTGTAGCAGGCCCCGTAGATAGGGGATGCTCTGGCAGGGATCCAGGATCAGGAAAAGCTGTGGAATGCAGATGATTTTTTTGTGTGCCAGTTGTGTTTTCCTGCTCACATGGGCTGTGACTGTATATGTGTTTGATGGAAAGCGAGAGAACAGTTGCCAAGTGAAAAAGATGTTTTTCCTTTTACTAGACATTCATTTTCCCCCATATGCTTTGAATGGACTGAAATTGGAATTCCTGTTCAGAGCAGTGCTCTTTGTAATGTGGTACTCTAGCTCCCTTATGGAATAGGTGTTAAAGGGACACTGTCAACTTAATCACATTTCTGTCTGAAAAGTTCATACCTGCTTAAGTCCCAATTAACTTTACAGGAGAAGTGAGTGGTACACAGGCGTTTTGTTGGCCCTCTGCACAGGGATGAATTTCACCTTCAGAGAATTAGGGGTGGTTTGAGCTTTTTCTTGTATATGTGTCTAAAAATGTAATGACTCACAAAAAGCGTGTGTATGTCATCCTTGTCTGAAAATCCCATGTTCCTGAGCAGAAAATTTCAATTACATATAGAAGAGCATGGTGGTTCCAAAATAAGCACTTTTAGGAAGATGTCTGACGAGAGAATTGACAACCTATCTTCCATATGAGAGTGAAATATTTCTTTGTGTCTTCTTCCAACAGGCTACCAAAGCTCATATAAAGCTCAACACAAAAAAGCTTTACCAAGCAGACGGCTATGCAGTGAAGGAGCTGTTAAAAATAACTTCTGTTCTTTACAATGCAATGAAAACCAAAGGAATGGAGACCACCGCAGTGGCTGAAGAAGAAAGCAGCAAATTCAAGTTTGACCTTGGTTCAAAAGTAAGGAAAATATGATTTTTTTTGTAGTCATAGAAATCAAATCCATTTGCCTCATAAGCCTATACACAGAATGTACTTGATGGTGTGCTCTTTTCAAACTCTCCCTTTCTGAATGTATCTCCTGCGATACATATGAGAAAAACTTGGCTCATAACGGTATTGAAGTTTAGTACAGAATCAGTTACCTCTGCTTCGGAGCAAGCCTGGAATAGGAGGGAGTGTGGTATGGGAGAACTGAAGTGTTTTGGGTAATTGTGTTTGAGAAGCGTGGGGAGTACTTACTACAAGATGGGTCTGGATCAGTGCCCGTTGAAGTCAATCAAAGTCTTTCCCTTAAGTTTATTGGGCAGTGCACCAGGACCCATAGAAGCACTTAAAATGGAAATTGCTCCACAAATAACATTGCCGTGTGTAACTACATATAACTCTGCATGATGTGGCCAGCGGTGTGTAGTGTAGATGTAGCCTAGGAGAGATTCAGGCACTGTGCTCGTCACACGTATGGTTTTAATTTGAAAGGGGACAACACCTGTCACAACTTTTGTCCGTGATGGCAAAGAGATTCTTCTGTTGTTTGATTTTTGATGCTGTTTTTCTAGATTGCTGATTTGAAGGCAGCCAGGCAACTTGCTTCAGAAATCACATCCCGAGGAGCATCGCTGTATGATTTACTTGGCAAAGAGGTGGAGTTGAGGGTAAATATGCTCGGCAGGAAGGGAACTTGGGCTTGTCACATGATGCAAATATAGAGAGGTAAACAAGTATGGATGAGTGATTCCAACAGCTGCAATGAATGTATGGGATGTAGATTCCATGTGTGAATGGAGCGAGGTCAGATGGGTTACCCAGCATCTCATTCATATAATTATTTCTCATAAGTACAAAAGAATAACAGTTTGCATTTAGAGGTGATTTGAAATGCTTTGTAAAGAACTGCTTGAGAGCTTGTCAGTAACAGCGCGTATATATACTTTGTCATGTTCCTGTACCAGATACAGACTGGCTAAGGAGCTTGCTTATTCACACCAGCTGTGTTCATTATAAGATCCTTTACTGCTCTGCCAGGTCTGTTCAGCATTCCATTACATCTCCCCCTTTAAGATCTACATTCCTACCCTATGCAGTATGTACAGTATCGCACTGTCTTTGAGGTTCAGCATGTGTCAGTCTGCTAAGAGTCCCTGAATTGTACTGGTTTCCTAATTACATGACCCAAAGCATGACAACTTGGTCATCAGGCTGTCTGTTAGTTGCAACAGTTGTCTGTGGTCAGTTCAGAATCTTTGAGTCATTTTGTTCTGCATCTGCTGTCTGTGGGCAATGCAGTTTGCTAGTAATATGGTCAAAATCATATTTTGTTCAGAATGAATTCAGTTCTGCTGCCGTGAATTGTAGTCTGTTGTCCATCGTTAGTTGTTCTGGAATACTGAAGTGAGCAAAAGTACACTTCAGTTTTTCAGTAATACTTCAGTATTATGTCTTTTAAAGAGATGGTTTCTGTATATCTGGAAAAACAGTCCATGATGGCCAGGTAATGATGTCTCCTGAATTTGCACAAATATTTATCTAGTCTCTTCCAAGGTCTGTCTGTTAGGGGTGGTGTTATGAAAGGTTCTTTGTGATGCATTTGTCTGTTAGTCTTGCAGTGTTCACACATATACTTTACTCTTTATGTCCATGCTGATGCCTGGCCACCAAAATGACTGCTTGGCCCATTCATGGCATTTAGTTAATTCTTGATGTCCTTCATGGATGAGGGTTAGGATTTTGTCTCTCATTTTGTTTGCAATTGTGCTGCAGTTGCCTTTAATCATGAGTCTTTTGACTTGTGTATTTATCCGGGCACTGCAAAGTAGTTTCTTGTCACTTCTTTAGTGTCCTTTAGCTATTTGGGCCCCTCTAAAGTAACTTAGTATGTCCTGAAGTTTCATAGCTGTCACGATGGGGTTTTTTTGTAGTGGCGTATTCTCTTTTCTGGCTCTGGTGAGTATGCATCCACTGCATCCACTTACATCTTAATGTCATCTTTAATTTCATGGGTTGTTGATTGCGATTCTAGTGTACATACATAGGTGTGCACACGGGGTGTGCCAACTGTGCCCAGGCACACCCTAATGTTTCAAAGGGGGCGTGAGCGAAGGAGCGCCGCTTCGGCACTCTGGGGAACGGATACCATGCTGGGTTTGCCACGCATGCATGGCCAAAACCAGCAGGTCTTAGGGTCCCATGGAAAGAGGCGGCAGGGACGCAGCAATGTCACCCGGCCGCCCCATCAAGTGAGGTGAGTTTAAACCCTGGGCGGGAAGGTGGGGGGGATGCCCCAGGCAGGGGATTGGGTGCAGCGCGGCTGGCCTGGGAGATGGCTGGGGAATGTTGGGTCGGGAGCAGCACGGCTGGCCCGTGGGGGGCCCTGAGGGGCCACGTTTGTGGGCTTCCCTGCTTGGCGGGAGGGGGGGGGGAGGGGGCAACGGGGC